CTTCCAGAAAGTTCCTTCAGACCTGGGGCTTATCCAAAGCTCCAAATCAAGAGATTACATTGACTGTTTTCTATATGAAGACAGGTAACTTTCTGTTTGTTCTAATAAATGTCTTTTGATTACTTTACCTGGAATAAATCAGAAACATTGTTATAGCAGCAAATGCAAAGAGCATCAAGAGGCTAACAGCTAATTCCTAAACTTACTATGAAATACAAATGTGTGTGTGTGTGTGTGTGTGTGTGTATGTATTTTTTCTATAGACTATCAAGATACAATTCTCTACTTTAAAGATCACTAAATAAATTACCCATACATTTCCATATGTCCTAAACCAGATGTTCATGATTTTTAATGATTAAACTAAATTCCAAATCAAGTATTTGCAGAAAAATTATACAGTAGGAAAAAAATCCCGAATATATAACAAAAATGTAAATGGAAAAGCTAAAAAAAAAGGAAAAAAATTATTCCTCTGATGAATGTTTGACAAAAATCAAAAATTGTTTTCAGATGCAGCTATTTGTAACTGCATTAAATCATTGCTTACACTCTTGTTCCCTATTAAAAACAACACTGCTGTCACAATTATAAACAATACCTCACTGAATCTTGTATATATCGTGACTGTTTTCTTAAAATAAATTATTGAAGTAGGAAAAAAAAAAACCTGCTGTATCTTTCAGCAAGGCCGATTCATTTAGAGTATTCCCCTGTGACAAAGGAACTAACAAAAACTCCACTAACTATGGTCTCTGACTAAAGCACATTTCATAGCTATAGACCAACATGACAGTGTTCATAGGAATCCAGAGACCTGCATGCACAAAAGCACCTGAAGTGTGGGTGTTAAAGCAACCAACCTAACGCCAAATTTACTTTAATATTAGCTCATCTGCTGCAGAAAAGAGTAGTGATATTTAAAATTCTAATTCCTTTCTCCTACTTAGCATAATGAGCGAATCTTAATTTAGCATAGTCTTGGAATTACAACTACTGTGCTTTTTATTTGGGGACTCTGGATTAAGTTAGCAAAAAATAACTCGTGCTTATCACTCACTTTTCTAACAACTTCAGAGTTCTCTATGGTCTTTAATTGAGTAGTTTCTATATTATAAACAGTGGAAGCCTTGCCTCAAGAAGTGAGGTTTCCAGAGAATAAAATCCAACAAAAATTTACTTTTACTGAACTACAGATGCTCCTCAGTTTACAATGGAATTACATCCAGATAAAGCCAATACAAGTCAAAAATGCTGTAAGTAAAAAAATGCACTTAATACTCTGACGAACTCATTGTAAAGTTGAACCATCATAACTTGGAGACAATCTGTAGAGAGATAAAAAGCAACCTGTAAAAAAGGTCCTGGATAGCAGTGCATCTTTTAACTGTGTTACTCTATAAAGCTGACCCATACAGGAAGGTTCCTGGTTCCCTGGGTGTGATGAGTGCACGCATGCCCGTGATCTGGGACTGGCTGAAGCCGGGAGAGGACTGCAGAGTAAAGACCCTGGAGAGGTGCTGTCTCTTTGTCTCTATTTCTCTCCCTCACTCTTGCTCATGGAAGAAACACATAACCTTTTTTTTTTTTTTAGAATTATTTTTATTTAACTTTATTTATTTACTTATTTTAATTTGATCAGAAAGGGACAGAGTGAGAGAGCAAGAGAGAAAGACAGAGACAGAGAGGGGGAAAGTGAGAAAGCATGCTGCCAGGTCTGGGACTCAAACTGCGGTCAGCCATATGGGAGTCCAGCACCCTCAACTACCATGCCATCTGCTGGCCCCTACACTTTTTTTTTTTTTTTTTAAGCAACTATATTTATTTGGATGGATCAAGGAGGGTCTTGTGAAAGAAGTAAATTAGGACTGGGTGATGAAGTATAAGAAAAAATGTAAAGAGAAAGCAAGAAAAGCAGACACAAGTCATGGAGAGAAAAGGATGAATAAAATCATAGAGATAGGAAATAGGCAGCTTCTCAACCCTGGCTTTGGCTGGAATCACTTGGAGTTTTTACTAGGATAAGCAGGCCTTGGGCCAGTCTGTGGCCTGGTGGTTAAAGCAGCAGATCCACATGACTAACTGTGGTACAAGTCCTGGACCCCGCAGCTTGAGAAGCATGCCAGGTACATGTGTGTGCCCAAAAGCCCAAAAGGATGGTGAAATGGAGGAGAAAGGATTGCGGTGTGACCATGCCCCATTTTTTTTGGTGTGGGGAGGTTTTTGCTATAGGGCATGTGCGCTCGCCAGACAGACAGAGAGAGACAGAGAGACAGAAAGCTTGATATCACCCCCCCAACGGGGATGGCCACGCCACAATCCCTTCTCCTCCATTCTCCTCTCAGGATCTTGGGCATGCATGCACACGTGCCGGCGTGAGTTTTAAGCCACTGGGTCCGGGACGTGAACCGCGGTCGACTACCTGGGAGTCCAGCGACATAGCCATTACGCTGGTCCCTCACTTTCCCTTTTCTTTCTGTCCCTCTCAGGTTCTTGTGTGTGTGCTCTGGCCAATTTAAAAAAAAAAAAAAAAAAGCAAGCCACAAACAAACCTATTAAACTAAAATTTCTCTGGTTAAGGCTGAGTATTTACATTTTTTCAACTACAAAGGTTGAGACCACTGATGTAGGAGGTGCTCAGAGAAAGGTCCATATTCCAGCTGTAATACAGGGTCCATGAAGGATGTGAGACTACAAAGGCTTTTTACATCAGGCTTTGCACTTTCTTGAATTCCAAGCTGAGAAGTCTGCACTGGTGTTTTTTGGCATTGGTTTTGAACAGGTGTATAAACAACCAGTGTATCTTAGAAACATTTTGTAGAAACAAAGAATATTGCATTAGGAATAAATGAGGAGAAATAGGGAGCCGGAAGACACGTTAGAAGGCTATGTTGTATTCTAGGGAAAAGGAAATCAGGGTCTGTTCAGTGCATTCACAGTGAAATGGGGAGAAAGCAAGCAAGCGAGCAAGCAAGAAAGCAAAAAGATCTAATTCAAAAGATACAGCAAAGACTTGGATATTGAAGATGCTGAAGATTTTCAGTGCAGGTATGTAGGATTTGGTGAGGCAATAAAGACAGAAAACAATACAGGAGAGCCAGATTTCAAAGTTCCTTGCACATATGGGGTTTGAATGGGTGACTATCTGCCCCTACAAGTTTATGTCTGCTAATTATGATAATGCTTTCTTTAATCTATAGTGACTCAGTTTAAATAATAAACCAAAATTAACTTAGGTTTACAACACTTGAGTAAAATTACCTTAGATGTATGTTATCGTTTTAAAAATGTCAGTAGGAGGGGCAACCAGCAGTTAGCGTAATGGCTATGTCGCTGGACTCCCACATAGTCTACCGCAGTTCGCGTCCCAGACACAGTGGCTTAAAACTCACGCCGGGCATGTGTGTGTGCCCAAGATTCAGAGAGGGGAATGGAGGAGAAGGGATTGCGGCGTGACCATCCCCCCTGGGGGGTGATTTCTCGCTTTCTGTCTCTATGTCTCTCTATATCTGTCTGGCAAGCGCACGCGCCCTGTAGCAAAAACCTCTCAAAAAAAAAAAAAAATGTCAGTAGGAGGATAGAAATGAGGATCTGGGGACAGATTGTCAGCATCAGGAGAGGAATTCCTTATATAAGAGGTTAATAAAATTGAAGGTCAGACAGGTTGGGGCAGCTGATTCCCACATGGATGACTGTACAGTTCAAGTCCTGGACCTGACAGCTTGAGAGATGCCAGGCTGTATATGCACATGTACCCAAAATCGGGAGAGAAGAATGGAGAAGGGATTGCAAAGTAGACATCCCCACTGGGTGGTGCTGTCTCACATACCC